ATTCTTTGGCTGCTGACAGAATACACAAATTCTTGCTCAGAGATTGAGAGAGGAGCTTGCATGAGTCAGTTCACTCACTGACTCATTCAACAAGCATTAAGAAATGCCAGCCCTGGAGATACAGAGATGCATAAAACGCCATCCTCTGCTTGCAGCCTACCAGCAGGGAGCGATGTGAAGCAATTTCATGGAAGACAGCCTCATACAGCCTCGTATGTGCAGAAATAAAGTGACTGAGGATGTGCAAGGACGGTCCAACCAAGGCCTCTTGATAGAACTGAAAGGAACATACGCTTTGTAGTGTAAATGATGCTTCTGTTTGTTACACACCCAGTTAGACACCGAGGTGCTAACATCCATCGGTTAGAAAAAGTTTACCCTCCAATCTGAAAGTCAAGAGTAGCATCAAATATAAGAATCATGTTTCGTGTCATAATTTTTGCCAATCCTCTGCCAATTGCTCCATCAGGTGTCATCTGCCTGGATTGAGCTTTGGGTGCAGCCTAGGACATCTGGGTGTCAGAAGAATGTGGGATTCAGACAGCCCAGGGGAGTCAGGGGTGCCTGGCACCTGGGTTTACATATAACTAAGGTCTCTCCAGGGAAGGTACCTGTGATTGCTTTCCTTTAATAAGTGGGTCCAGCCTACTGGGCAGGCATGTCTTCCCAGACTTACTTTCATGGATAAGGAGTAAAATATAGTCTAAAGCAGTGGTTCTCAAATGTTGCTGCATATAAAAATCACCTATAGAACTTTTGAGAGTCCCAGTGCCCAGGCTACTCTCAGAACAATCAAATCATAATATTTTAGGGCAGGATGCAGACAGCTATAGTTTTTTATTTTTATGTATTTTTATTTAATAGTTGGTATAAAATATTGGGTTGTCTGAAAAGTCATGACACATTTTTGCAACGAAAAACATAGATAAAATAACGTCATGACTTTTCCGACAGCCCAATATCATATTAGTTTCAGGTGTCACCATGCAAACATCACAATATTATTGACTATATTCCCCTTCACCATTTTTACCCAGCCCCTCAACTCCCCTCCCCTCTGGCAACCATCACTTTGATCTGTTTCTATGAGTCTGTTTTGGTTTTGTTTGGCTTGTTCATTTGTTTTGTTCTGAAACTCCTCAGATGATCCCAATGAGCAGCCAAGTTTGAACGGGCCAAGTTTGAACCGGCTGTTCTAAATCAATGGTTCTGTGATCCAGAGGGCTTTTTACAATTTAGATTGCTGGGTCCCATCCCTGGAGCTTCTGATTCAGTGGTTTGGCGGGCAGCTGGAGACCTTGCATTGCTAACAAGTTCCCAGGTGACACCAACGTTGGCTGGTCGGCTCTGAGAATGACTGCTTTAAATGAAAGCCATGTAAAGGAATGGTTGCTGAGAACTGCTGTTATGTCTGCATAAGGTCTCTCTACTCTGCATTTTTAAGGACAAGAAGGGAGAGATTAGGCTGGAAAGGCCACTGCAATATTTGCTGTGTGCCTATAAGACATATGTTCTTGGAATGGAATGAATCCATCTATAGAATACCCTTGCCCTACCTGGGAAAACACGCTGCTTTGCAGGGGATAGCTCTCTCTCTCTTTCTCTCTGTCTCTCTGTCTCTCTGTCTCTCTCTCGCTCCCTTTCTCTCTCAGAAAGGCTTGAGATGAGGACTTTGTTAAAATGCTAAAGAACATCTAAAGGAACAGGTGCACTCAGAATGCTTTTAGTTTCCGAGAAAATATGTAATTTGGAAGTAACGCTAGTTTTTACACACAGCAATCTTAAATGTTGTAGGTATTTCTGATGGAACAGCCTTGTAGCCCTACAGGAAAAACTTGCAGCTTATAGCCCAAGGAACCATTCCACGAGAAATAAATAGTGAGTTGAAACATAATCTAAACTGAAAACAAATAATTAAATATATTTGAACTTTATCTTGACACCAGCAAAGAGGACCCCACCCAGACAGTTATCTTAATCATTTATGGTAATTGTTTTTCCTTCTAATTGATTTCTCTTTTTCCAAACTAATTTCTCCTTCAGCCCACCTCCTATTTTAAAAGCGGTGCTCAGACATTTATATTTTATTTTAAGTACCCTTTCGGAAGCTGTATTCTTTTTTTTTTTTTTTAGCTGAGCCATCCTGCTACCTGTTGGCAGCTCAGCGGCTGCTCAGCTCGGGCTGGACTTGAACCGCTGTTGCTCAGAGCTCAAACTCTTGAGAGAGCTCTTAACCAACTGAGCCACTCGGCCGGCCCCCGGAAGCTGTATTCTTAATGGAGGGAATAATCTTTTCACTGGCTGTGCCTTTTTAGCATTGTTCTATTTCTATACATTATTCAGTGAGTGAAATTTTCCCGAGTGGCTGTGGATTCCCAGGAGACCAGTCAGGACAGGAGACCCACTCAGCAGGTGGGGAGCTGGCCAGGTGCCCTGTCACTTTGGGTAAATGAATTTTGAGTTCTTATCCTCTCAAAAACGGATAACTCTTGGATATGTGGCTTTTCCTTTCATTTTTAAATTTCCTCCTGAGATTGTTTCGTCTTTCTGCTTGGCTTTTCCCACTTCTACACAAATATGGGCTGAAAACTCATTAAGTTCAGCACTGAAAGGAAAATAACAACACATGAAGCCCGAGAGAGACTTGGGTGACCTGTGTGAGACAAACCTTTTCTTTCATTCAATAAATATCCCTTGAGTACCTGCTTTCTGGAGGGAGTGAATGAATGTGTGCCGTTGCTAGGTAAATGAAGTAATACTAGGAAAACTAGGCAAGGCCACTTATTTTAACCCAGTATGTTTCTAATTTATATGACTACTTTTTGGGAGTAAAACTATGGACATATATTGAAATAGTGCTGTACAGACCTTGTTTTGGTGAGTCAACGACTTAAGACATTTCTGGGTTATGTTGTTCACTTTCAATATCTCTGTGTATCTTTTTCTTTCTCTCTATATTCTCTGTCTCTCTATCTCCATCTATTGATATCGCCTACATAAGCAACCAGGCACGTTTTCTTTTTTTTTTCTTTTTAAACATAATATGAGTTCCAACATATTTATTGAATGCCGAAATAAAACAAAATGCCAAGACTGTGGCATTTTTCCTATAGCTTTAAAAGACAATAAGTTGACTAAAGTGAGTCATTCTTAGGCAGGTAAAGGCTTGCTATATGTGCCATTTATGTACTCTTCCTGAAAAATGTATTCTACTTTTCACTTCAGATTTTTTTTTTTT